ATGAAAATAAATTTACCTCAAGGTCAGGTACAAACAAAACTTCACATAAATTCGTTTTTATCCAGTCATGACCATTCCATGCTTGAACTTCTACTTTTACAATTCCTTGTACTTCTAGCAAAGAACCGTTCCCAATTTTTACATGTCTTCTTTCTTGGAGTTCTTGCATTTCTATAAAACTGTCCTTATCAAAACACATATGTTCTGTGGCTCCGCTATCTAGCCACCAGTCACATCCACCATTTGATTTCCCAATCAAAGCTGATAAACAAGATACTCCTACTAGCGCTTGTGTAACATTTGCTTTTGCATTTTTTTCATCGCTTTCTGCATTACCACCTTCTTCCTTTTTCTTCTTATTTTTGTTACACCAACAGTCTTTAATTAAGTGTCCCTCTTTCCTGCAGCAGTGACATATTTTCTTGGTCTTTTCTGGACAATTCTTCTTTATATGACCCTTTTTAACGCACTGAAAACATACTATATCTTTTAGTTGTTGAAACTTGTTTGACTTAAATGTTTTTGTGACTAAAGCTGTCCCTGAACTACTAGGTTTGTTTCTTTCTTCTTCTACTAACTATCTTGACATCAGTTCTGACAAAGGTTGTTTGTCTTCTGGCATGGATTCCCACGCTGAAACAAAGTACTTTAAACTTTCGGGTAGAGACATAAATATCTTTGTGATTGCCATTTTATTGCTTATTTCTTCTCCTTGCAGTTTCAGATTTCCTTGAATTTTTTCAATTTGCGATATCAATCCAGCTATGCCACCTTCGCCATACTCCAAGCCAAAAAACTTCTGCTGCAATAAATGTACACTTATCTGAGATCTATTTTTATAGATTGTCACCAATTTTTGCCACATTTCCGCTGCTGTAGTACATGCCAACACATGGGTAAGGGGCTTTTCTTCCAGTCTATACACAATTATGTCTTGAGCCTTTGCATCTTTCATAATCCATTCTGTAACTTTCTTATCCGTTTCGTCGCCAGGCGGTTTTACAGCAGCTTTGTTAACAACTTCAAACAGTCCCTTGGATTTTAAACACACCAATGTTTGAAATTTCCAAAGTCTCCAATTTTCTTCATTCAACTTCACGACTTGCAATCCTTCTGCCATCACTATTCTTTGTTGCGTTCGTTTTTATGCCAAACTCTTTAACTTTCCCAAATAACTTGGTATTGCTTTTTTTTCTTTCGACTACGTTTTTTAAACGTATATTTTAACTTTCACGACTCCCGAATTCTTATACAAACAGCATGTCTGTGCCCATAACCTGTTGTAGTAAATGGTCAATTCAGGATATTCAAACAAGTCCGAAACTCAACAATATATTGACACTATGAATCGCAACATGAAAAAGATGAATCCAAAAGTACAAAGTAACCACGCGTCTTTTATTCTAACATAACCTCCTTAACTAGACCCTAGTCTACATTCGTTCCTCGGACCATAGATGTAAGATATATTTTATTGGTTCGTTTTACGATTACCAACAATGTTCTATCTTCTGGCCACCTCTTATCTTTTCGTAGGCAAAGTGGCACTATTTAAAATGGATTTTTTTTTGGATAATTTTAGATATCGTTCTTTTTTTTAGTTCTCGTAATTTTTGACCTCATTTGACATTTTACCCACCAGGAGACCAGAAGTAATGAGGTATTATAAAACTTAAAAAAAAATCATAAAAAATATCGCCACTTTACCAGAAAATTAGTGAGGGTGACGAACAAGTATCAGAAGTTTTCTAAAAAAAATACTTTATAGCATTACCACTTTATCTACAAGATCAGAAGTGATGAGGGGTTTTATAAAATTTATAAAAAAACACTTAGCAATATTGCCATTTTACATACCAGAAGGTGTATAAGAACACTTCTACCAGGAGATCAGAATTGACGAGGAGGTCTAAAAATATTTCTATAAAAAAAAAAAAAATTAAAAATATAGCTACTTTATATAACAGGATATCACAAGTTACTAAGAAGTACATATTAAAAAAATTTAAAAAAAAACAATTCAAAATATTGCTACTTTATCTATCAGGGGTTCAGAAGTGACGAGGAGGTATTAGAAAATCTCTAGAAACACTTTAAAATTTTGCCACTTTATCTACGATCAGAAGTTACGAGGTGTTGGAAAATTTTCTTAAAAAAACACTTTAATATATATTGACACTTTATTTATCAAGAGATCAGAATTGACGGAAGATGTCTATCAGAAATTTTCTAAAAAAATCTCTTTAAAATTTTATTTTATCTAGGACGAGATCAGAAGTGACGAGGACGTAAATAATTTCTATAAAAAAAAATTAAAATGTTCCTACTTTATATACCAGGAGACCAGAAGTGACAGGTATACGATAATTCCTTTAAAAAGACACTAAAATATTGCCACCAGTTCCTGGATCTCCTTTCTGTTGAGAGATAAAGTCGGTTAGTATTAGAAAAATGTACTGCTTAATGCTCTTTTCTATAACTTTATGAATTAAAAAAGTATGAAACTAAATTTGAATAAAATCGTTTGATGTAAACCCAGATAAATTTTCTTGGATGAGAGGCTCTTTTTCTATCTACTTTCCTATCCGGCCTCTCTTGGTCAACTCTTGTTTTCTTCAGATCACGACGCTATTAGGTCACGAGGACTAGGGGTCATTCTTTTCACAACTTAGCAGCTGTGAATATCCCATTTAACCCAGTCTTACCCACAAACACAATACCATTTGATTATTTAGTATAAAGATGTTTCCTGGATCAAAGAATTCCGGACGTAAACTATCTCCCCGATCGGATATCCGGGTGGGAGGGTGACCTAGGGAGCCCATCGAACGTAATGGAATAAAATGAAAACCCAATAATAATACCGCATAGCACGAGACCGACGGCACAAGTGCCCTTTGCATGGGAGGAAGAACATAGCGTCTACTCCCAACACAACGTTACCCGGACCGCACCCTCAAGATGTACCGGAATGCTTGGATCGGCCTCAGGCCAACCCCGCTCCGGGACGACCTCTAGAAATGTCTCCACAATTTCGAGAAAGGAGGGTTAGACGCTGGAGTAGGGAGAAGAAGATCGCCCTAATCCGCATCTACTCTAAGGTTATGAGCAACGAGACGAACTTTATAGGATTCCGAGACACAACCTTTAACGAATGGATTAAACTACACCCTGATCATGACACCACACCACAGGCCTTATCCAATTACGTAAGATAAATTATTCGAAAAAACATTCTAACAGAGGCAGAACTTCAACAGCTGGGATACCAAAAACATAAAACAGAAGATCACATCACGTCACCAATGCAGAATGAGCCAGTGCCCCACCAACCTCCTCCAGAACCGCTAAGGAATATTGACTATAACGAACGGAGCCACATAGAATCAAGAAAGGTAAAAGAAAATTCGAGCTCTGTCGAATGCTTTATGATGGACTTCCTATTAATGAGAAACACCCTATGCCCATTGTACCAAAAAAACTGAAACAATAATGCAAGCGAACTCGCTGTTAAGAGAAAAACCTACTCGGATTAGTACACTGGAAACACTCGTTCATTGGGTATACTGTCTAGCTCTGACTGGAACACAAACTCTGAAGCTCAAACTGCTGAAAAGCAAGCAGGAGTACCAAGAAACGCAACCACTGTGGGAAAAGAGGCCGATTAAAAAGATCGAAATACTTTGAAGACATATCTCATTCCCGCTGGTGAATAGCGACACACTGCGCTGCCAAATTACTTGACAACTTTAAACAAAAGGTTAGAGCAACTGCGTTCAAATTAAAGAACTACAGACAAAGATCACGCAGGTAAAACTAACAGCTGTTTTATAGTAAATTAGACGGCCTAAAAAGTGTGTAATCAGGGCCAACCAGGGAGGACATGATGCAGTTCTGGGCTAAACCTTGGGATAGATGGAATAGATGGAACCCTTGGATAGTGCGGAACAAGTGGGCTGCAGGGAGAAGGGGCGAGGATAAAAGAAAGCCTTGGTAATTGATGCCATTGTCACAAAGCACGCCAGGAGTACAAAAAGGATTACAAAAAGGCGTTCGATTCCGTGCCGCACACGTGGCTGTTGGAAGTCGTGGAAGTCTATAAAATCAGTCCAAAAACGCGCGAACTGCTGATCAGTCTAATGTGAAATTGAAGGCCACCAAACATATACCACCAAGCAGATATATAAAAAACGAGGCATCTTTCGAATGTAGCATGAAGCCCATGAGAGCTGCCGCCGATGTGAAGAAACGTAGAATCCATTCAGCATATCACCGCCGGATGCCCAACCCTCGCGCAGCGGGAATATCTAGACAGATATGACATGGTCGCAAAGGCCATCCACCAGGAAGTGAGCAGAAATCTCAAAACGGTTAGCGTAACAAAGCCTACGCATCAATACTGGCCCGCTTGGAACCATGAAACAATCTCTGCAACCGTGTATTGGGCCATACCAATACAAACGGAAAATATGTTTTACCCTCAACAGACCGGACATTTTTATTATCAACAAAGCACAGAAAACCTACAACGAAAAGATAGCAAAATACGAAATGCTTTCCTACGAACTAAAAGCACTATACTACTTAAAAATGGTCCATACTCTGCCTTTCATTATCTCAGCTGACGGGCTTGTACACAAAAACTTTACGAAACATCTCAAACAGTTGAAGTTAGAATATGCACCTGAACGAAGCCCAAAAGGGCGCAATTCTAGGCACCTTCCGAATTGTCCGAAAAGTATTGTCCCTGTAGTATCTACCGAACAGATTTCTTGGACGCGGTCTGGTTTTTGCTTGTACCACCAGAAAACCAGTTAAAAAAAAATTACATAAAATAATGATATATAGTATTAAATATGCAAATATTACGTAACTTTTGATTTACTTTGAAAATTCGTAGTTTTTCACGGTTTTTTCTCTTTCTATCTACATTAGTTAGTTTCGTCAGTTTTTCTCAAGGCGGGTAGGCTAGTAATCTATTCTCATTTATTTATTGGCAGGAAAATCGGACCTTCATCAGAAAGTGGAAATGTTGAAAGATGAAAAACAAGATTTGGAACATCAAATAATCGAGCTAAAGCAACGAGCCGAACAGGCTGACAGAAGGGCAGCCGAAACTCGCTTGGCTGAAGAAAGGAAACATACAGAAGAAATTACGTTTTTGAAAAAAACGAACCAACAATTAAAGGTTTCATTATATTAAGCTCCAAAAGCAATTTTTTAGTGATTTTGTGGAACTCGCAGTTTATTCTGATTTTGTTTCAGACTCAGTTAGAAGGCATCATCGCACCTAAGAAATGACGTGTTGGAGACGTTTTTGAGTCAGATTTTTATATAACGGTATGCTACTTAGCATAATAAAATGTTTACAAGTGATATAAACTTTAATTTTTTTCACAAATTATAGACCAAATAGACAAAAATTTGTATTCGAGAAGCACAAATTCAGGAGTAACATAAAAGTAAAAATTTTGCACCTAAATGGAGCCTGCGATTTCGGTCGGCCGCTAAGCGGCTGTATGACCTAAAACCGACATCAATGGTATATTACACAACAAGTGTAGTAGACGGCATTTGAGTCACGAATATATTTGGCACAAGCGGAGCTAGTTACGTGTGTTGGTCAAAGAAACACTTTTTTAAAGTTTCATTTGTTTAAAGAATTTTATTGTTGTTAAAAACAATTTATAACAACAAAAAACGAGTTTACTGCCTGAATTTAAGAACAGCAATGAATTTCATCTCAAAGTTATCTTAACGCTTAGTTGGATACAATTGCATAAATGAAATTAAGCGATATATAAATGCATACTGTGCGATTAAATTATATTGGGTAAGCAGGTTGTTGGTATGTAACTAGCGCAGACTTAATGTGTCCTTGATGTTTAAAATTAGATTTTTTAGTTACTTCTGGCCGATTGTTGGCAAAGTTCGTGCTTGAAAATAGCTAGAATTTATTGTTGAGAAACGGATTGGTAAAACTGCGTTTTCAAAAATGAGAAATTTATTTTTTACGTTTTTTACCAAACCAAAACTCAACGTCGAATGTGTTATTCGTTCACGAAGATCCAGATCACAAGTCTGTCAAATAAGTCGTTAGCATCAATTCGATTTTATTTTGTATGGATGGTATTTATATTTCTAAAATATCTTCTAAATCCTTTTGGCGTATGAACTTCCCTCTCAAATTTTGTAAATGAATAGATCTCAAAATATCTATGCCTTTCTCTGTTTTCTTTGATAAATGTTTTAGAAAGCGGGTGGACAAATGATGTTATTAAATATGCTATCCAACGAGCAACGGTCAAATTTAATAGTCTATATATAAAGGGTGTTCTGTTTAAAACATAATCTTGGTTTTTACCTCAAAAATTGTAAGAATGTGACAAAAAATATCTTCATTCGAAGAATTTTTTTAATTAATGTTTATTTGTTATTTAGCATGCCAAATAATTTTTAAAATCGAAGTAAAGTGATATTTATTCCCATTTTATAGGTATTTATGAAAAACGAACAAAAATAAATAATGTTATATTATTTTGATTTTAAATTAGTATTTTATTTGATAAATTAGGGATTAATTAGAAACTAAACAAAGTGACAAATATAAAATTTATTTTGGACATCAATTGTCTTGATTCTTGGAGACGTCTTTTCGATGTTGGGCCTAGATCAACAGGTTCCACTTCAGTTACTTCGAGACTCGTTCCAGTGCGGTCGACTTCGAGGTGTGTTCGACTGCGGGAGATCTTAAGATATCGATCGGCAAAGCTCAGGTATTCCTAAAGATCGGATTCCAGATCCGATTGAACCTCCGGGTCTCCTACTTATTACTCGAAATTATCCGGATGTTTTGGATCTCGATGGACCTTCTCAATCTGTCATAATGTCACTGATGTTAACAACCTACAGCTTTCAAGGTGTATTCCAGTGAATTCTGTTGCTTAGTGCGTTATTTGCTACAGCAGAGTTTTCAATTTAAAAATTAATATCGAATCAAAATTAAAATCGTCAGAAGATCAAGTTTGGCCAGTCATGTACAACAATGATATTTTTATTCGGAGAAAAGTTATGCCCGTGGATGAGAAGCGATCCCACTTGATTTTTTCAAAACCTATAATGAAAGATTATACCCTATGAATCCCAAAACACCTTTATTATATGGGCTTCCTAAGATATATAAATAGGGGATCCCCATTCCACCCGCAGTGTCTTTCGCGCTTGTTTCAATCTAGTTTCATGGCTAAACAAAGATCCTAGAAATACAACTGACTATTCTACCAGAAATTCAGTGGAGTTAACCAGTTACTTGAATATTGACATTCAAAAGTTCACCTTGTTGAACGCCGACTTTAACGCCGAGCTAATGAGCATATTAAAATCAATGGGTAATTATGTGTTCGATCTTGAAAATGATGACTCATTTTTTTTCCTTCCGAGGATCGAACCCCACCCGTGTCCGTTGTTGAACACCCAATTTTAACGCCTAGCTAATTATGTACCGCCGGTTTGCAGCGGTTCCGTCCCGATGCTGTTAGATGTCGCGCGCGCGCTCTCGCCAGGATTCCTATAGCCTGCCGAGTCCCCGTGAGCCCCCACACGGCAGGTGGCGGTGACGTGGGTCGCGGAGTTGGTGGGATCGGGAGGATAGGGTCGACAGTAAACAATCGAGTGACTTATACTCTCGATCATCTTGTATACATGGTGTGTCCAAGTTTAATTAAAGAAAACTATTTACAATAACAAATATTTATTATTTCAGAAGAGGATGGTCTTCTTCTTCTTCTTTCTGCGTCCACTCTGTCAAACACATTTATTAAACAAGACTTTTAGTAAGTGACGTAAGTGAATTAACTTTTCTATTTCCTGTCATTTAAAAGATATTAAAACACTATATACTTCAATTTAATTCGATAATTATGCATGCATTATGCGTAAAAGAATGGATTATTATATTATTAAGACAGGTAGGAATTGACAAAAAAAGTGATAATTGTTTTCTGTTATTCACAAATCACTGAGAAAATTAACGAAAACTGAAAAGAAAAACAAAACAAAAAAGTAATCATAAAACTTATCAGTTGTAGGGTCGTAAGGAAATAGACATCGCACTTCTATATTCATTACACTGAATATAACCGACAATACACATTAAACGTATTTATATGTTACGTTACATGTTCTCCCTTACATGGTTAAATTAAAAATAAAAAGTGACTTAAAAATCAAAGGGTGTTCTACCCACAAACACCAATGCCGATATGAATTGAATTGTTGTCGCCGATGGGAGTCTCAAGGGGAACGTGCTTTCATTTTTATGTAAATTGTTCAACCTCAGACTGGAACGACTTGAGACGCATTCGCTTCGGACGTGCAGTCTGCCGCATAAAATTTTAAAGTGTGTCTATCACATAATTAGGCAAAAAAAATTAACACCCAACAAAATTATTTATCGCACACGCAAATATATTTTGCGCCTTAAAATCAAAAGCGATACACCCGCCCACTATAATATCGCCGCACAAGTGAAATATATTAAAAAAATTATCTAATAGCAGATTCAATATTTAAACAAATCCCTTTTAGATTGATAAACACAGTGGCAGATTATTTACCAGTTAGTTACAAAAATTAAAAAGGAAATGAACAGGAATTAGGTTAATACAAACTATTTATTAATACATTAAACATTCTTTATTGGCAGTGGAAAAAGGAACGGTGCGGTTGACCCTAAAGAGATTACAATTTTCGTGTGCGGATCCTCTGTATTTCCCAATGATCTTGAACTTTTTTGTCGTCTTTTTTCTCGTATATATGTAAAATTCGATTTTCTATCTAGCTCTTAGTTCATTCATTGGTATCACACAAGAATACAGTCTCAATGTTCTCAGCTAATTGCTCCATCTCCTTGCAGAACCATGCCGCACAATCCTCTCCCGCGTACGAACGATAATATAATAGAGATCCGTCATATAAATATTTAAAATAATAGCCCAGTGAGTACGGAACATTTCGTGTCGGCATAAATAATAAAAGGAACCTTCTCTTTCTACTTAAAGTCCTTGAATTGCACAAAATTCTTTCCTTCTTCAGGAACTCTGGGAATTTCCAAATTTTTGTTCTTATTATCGCAATTTTATTGGCGTGCTTCGCTAACTTGTCCTCGGAATGAAAATAATGCAACGCACACAAAAATATTTTCTATAAAGAGCTTCTGAAAGTTGGGATGATAAAAGCCGAAACATACTGACTTTGTACCTCTAGTAGGTTAACGCGTTTGATCTTTTTATCTTTGGTCAGATAAGCAGGAACAACTTGAAACCTAGTTGATAATTATTCCTGTAGCGTGTAGACATTCACCGATACATTATTTTATCCTTCGATTCTGGAAATTTGCTGCAATGTCATTGGAAAGTGGACGCCTTTAAGTTTTAAAACAGAATGGGGAGGTGGATAAGACGAAATCCTTTTAGCCAATTCTGATGGAGCAGGAAACAGACCAGAGACCAGGGCCCAGGCAAACCACATTACATCAGAATTATGCACATTATTACAGGCGTGTTTTCTTGCTGTCGACTCCGATATCTTCAAGTAATTTCTGGCATGAAGTGGATTAAACTTGTTGATATTGACCATTAAATGTAAGATTTTCTTCAAAGCCTATCCGGAATCTTTTTCTTGGAACTCCTCTAATTGGGTTTTAATTGGCAACACATTTCTCTCAAACCAATGTAAATTAGTATCTTTATAGATTGCTGCGTTCGAAGTTGTAAAATATTTAATTTCCGTCTGGCTTTTTGAATTTGAAATTCTCTCCCGAAGGCAGCGTTTATATTAACGGCCTAGTTCGTTTTCAGCGCCTTGTTGACACATCGTTGAAATAGTGCGAAGCAGTCCTGCAGAAATCTCCGCACGTCCTTATGTTGAAGGTTAGTTATGACGCCAGTTCTGATGCGCGATTCTAATGTTGAATTAACATAATCCCATTGAACGCGATCGTTCGCAGTCAGGGGTCTACTTCACGTTCAACATTTCTTTAAATTGACTCCGAAACAATTTAATTTGGGCCATTTGGGCTATCAGACGTTGTTTTTCTCCCACCGTTTTCATAGCCCGCATTTCCTTTTAGATTCTTCTTATCGCTTGAGTACATTTTTTCATTCCTTGAGCGACACCATCATTATTAGGACCGCAGACATTTTTTTTTTCATTGTACCGCACACGTACTACAACTCCAAAAGCTAGAGCGCAACTAACAATTCATCGATTTTACCGCACGGCTTTGGGAGCAATCAGATGTTTTCGCAGATATTTCCACGCCTTGAATTGTGACGTTTGTCAATTGTGACGGTCATTCATGTTGTGTTGCGAAAATGTACCCAAAAACTAACGGTCGTAGTAAAAGTATAGTATGCAACATGTTCGGTAAACTTTTTAAATCACTCGTTTATTAAAAACTCGCTCCGCTGAGCTTCGCTCGTGTCAAATAAACTCGTGAAAAAATAGCCATTTACTGCACTTAGTAGTTTTTAGGTACATTTTAGGTCTCCCCCACTCCTCTCACTTTTTGTGGGCGTGTCCTCTTTCCCCACGACCCTCTTAGCTCCTCCCCCTTTACCCATAATCCCTTGAAACTGGCCCCCATTGGATAAGCAACCGGAAATGTGGGGTTTAATCAATCCCCCTCCTCTAGTTTGCGATGGCGGCGAAGCCAATCAGAGCCCAGATATTTTCCCACCCGTAAGAAAAGCAATGGCGTCAATGAGACTTGATCATATTGTTCGCGTGACCATCTGCACCCTCTAGCGGTTCGAATGTAAACTAGTGTCCCCTCTTGAAATAAGATTTTCTTTAATAAGGTAACCCCACCTAGTGAATATTGACCAAAACATTTATTTTAAAAACATATAGTTCTGCGAATGTTACCCTCGCGGGTACAAACTGTACTTTTTACTATTGCGCACAAAGGACAGGGGAAATAAAGACGAAAAGTGTTGGATTTCTTTTTTCGGAACTGGAAGCAGGCAGGCACCACCAATAATATCTGCAAAAACAAAAACATGGTTAAAATTTTAGTAGGAGAGTAGTAGTAGGATATTAGAAACCATATACATTATTAATTTACTAAGCCATCTACCGTGCGTTAACTTCATACATATTTCCGCATTCTTCTGTTTTAAGGTATCGTGAGATATTTGACTATTTATCTGGGAAAAGTTCATATGTCGAAAATAATATGTGTATGTGGCCGTGGTAGGTTTTCTTTGCTATTATGATTTTATTTTTATTATTTAATATTTACAAAATTAATTTATCTATCTTATTGATGATTTTGGTTGTCTTTGCTATTTTATTATTTGTTTTTATTATTTAATATTTTCAAAATTAATTTATCTATCTTATTAATGATTTTAAGATATCGCAGTCAACTTTACTATTTCATCAATTTCTTTTATTTATTGCTGATCTTTGAGGATAGTGTACATACTTTTTTTTTCGTAACTTATCTGTATCTACCGTTTAATTTCCTATCAACCAATGAAACAAACTCGAAAGGCATCTTAACTAAAAAGTCATATACTTTAAAGCTGCTGCGACTACTACATGAAAGTGTGTTTCTATGGCAATCTCAACAATAATGAAATCTGGACGCTTATACTAAATACTGTAATACTCTTCTCTGCTAACGGTCTAGGAGACGCTATTTGAACCCCGTTCAAAGAAAAACTTCTATAGCCAAATAACCTCTCTGAACCACACTTAAGCGCATCACTCTTTCACTGTCTTGCAGCCTTCAGATTAATATTCCGTACTAACTACGTATGCCATACACGAAACGTTCTCTTTTCTATTTTTTTTTCTATGCGCTACATTAACGAACAGGATCTGAACTTTTCTGTCTGTGTATTTTGTTAGCCACCTTAAAAAAAATTAAAAAAAAGGTATGCGAACCTAGAGGATATTTTCCATATTTTTCACAAATGGTGACAACAATTAATGCAAGTATTATTTTTAATAATAATATCCATCTTTCGCTATGACATGAAAACATCGATTTTTTAATTGTAACTTTTCTCTATAGTCTATATCTGTTCTTTAATTAAATCCCCACCTTTTTGAAAAACCAACCTCTAAAAATAGTTATTTTTCTCTAATATAAAGTTATACGTTTTCCCCAATGTGTGTGAATATTTTTGCTAGAGCATTTAGTTACTCAGTACATGTCATAATCACTATTTTAAAAATATAATTCTAATGATACGTGTTTACGATTTGAACATATCGAAACATTCCCCCAGTTTTATAAATAAGAGCTCACTGCCAAACTACCAAACATCACAGTACAAACTACCGTACTACTCCCCCCTGGACAAAATCAGGTTAGTCAGCGTCATTAATCCTACCTGCGTTAACGGATAGCGTATTGTTAATTAAGGTTTAATACGCAAAAAATGTAAGTAACAAATAATTGAAATGAAACTCACTAACATCATAAATTATTTAAAAAAAAATTAGAACAGTTGGAACTTACTGGAGTAACCAATTTGGCACTAAAAATGGAAATTTTCGATACTCTACTTGGTGCCTACAATAAATGTTACTATTATTTTTAATGCAGAGACACAACGATTTTCTACTTTACGCCGACTCTAAAAGCCATGCAGTCTAAGCAATCAGAGTTATTGAACGCCCCATTTTGTGTATTATGTTCAAAACAGAGACTCTCTGGGCTTACGACTACAGCTACCAGCTACTACTTTCAATAATATTAACACAAAAAAAAGTAGGTGGCATTTCTATATTAGATGCAAAGTTTATGTGAAACTGACTGGAAGACAGAGTAATGCACCAATATGTTACTAAACATATTTCCATAGAATTCCGTAAGAGCTTACCTCCAAGTTTTCTCATTTAGTCAGTCAAAGCATCAAATGGGAAATTCCAATCCAATATATGTAGTGGTGGAAATATATCAATCGCCTACGTTGCCGATAATACCCGACTGAAGCTTCTGCGTCTTCTTTATCCCACATGTCGACTTAAAAAGATACTGGTCTAAGTCTCAATATTCCTGTTAAAAAAAAGAGAGGTTCTATATTGCCATAAATATGTGTTTTCAAAATTTTACCTGAATGGTTCGTGATTCCTTATATATGCCGTGTTGGCAGCAATGTGGCGACGACTACGCTTAAACTTTCCACATCTCGTGTCCCCATGACTGGTCTGTTTCATATATGAAAGGTCACCTCGCACCGCTTTGAACCTCCTTAAAAAAACGAGGCAAATCTTGTACTTATCATATCAAAACTTATTTCATCACCTCCAAAGGGAGGAGTAGGGGTTTCTAAAGTATGGTAGGTGCATCTCCTTATTTTTTTTAATTAAAAAAAGTGACATAATTACGCGACGTAACTTGATCCGAATCGTTAACGCGTCTCAAGATGGGGGTTTAGAGATGCTGAGGCCATTAAATTGATTCACTAATACCAGTACATACTGAAACCTCTTATTTCCAAAATAAAAAATTGTTAACTGTTAACACACAAAAAAAAACTATTTTCTCACCAATCGATGTAATTCGTCAAGCAGAAACCGAGAAGAAAAGTGAGGCTTATGCTGTTTGCTTACAATCCGACCCTGCTTCGTGTACAAATGCAATGCCATTTCGGCAGGGCTATAGGCTACGAAACCTTTCGAACTCGAAAAGGCGCTACTAATTTTAAATAGATACTTAATATTGGGGTAAAAGTAATAGATAAGATTGTTTTACATTAAATATTTGACAGATCGATGTAACTCGTCAAGCGGAATCCGAGAAGAAAAATGAAGGATGTGCTGTTTGCTGATAGTCCACCCCTGCTTCGTGTACAAATGCATGGCGGGGAGACCTGAAAGTTTTCGAAACTGCGTGAGTGGAAGTCTGCGTTGGACAAATTTTGAAAATATCTGAAGGTTTAACGAATTTTGGAGAATTCGACAGAGCTACAGACTACGAAACCTTTCGAAACGAACGTGTCCTGTTGAACTTGAAAAAGACGAAATTATTTTTAAAAAGGTATATTGTTGCTCAATAATAGATTTTTTTTTAAATAAAATATTTGACAGATCATGGTAACTCGTGAAGCAACATCTCAGAATTGAATCGGCGAGTTGTGTATTTGCTGACAATCCGAGCTTGCTCCGTTTAGATTTTCATAACGAGGAATCAAAAAATCAAAAAAGGTTAACGATTTGGATCATTTTGGAAGATACATACGCCTCGCTTTTCAAAGCGGCCAGACGTGCCCTTGTCCACCTTGACAAAGGTGGAATTATTTTAGGAAAGGTATATTATTTGTAAAAAAAAAAATATACAATTTTTTAAGTAACATATTTGACAGACCATGGCAACTAGTAAAGCAGAATCCGAGAATTCAATCGGCGGCTGTATGTTGACTGACAAGAATATAATTGCTGTTAATCCGGCCCTGCTTCGTGTACAAATGCATAGCGGGGAGACATGAACATTTTTCGAAATCGCAGACCTATCCTCTTGGGATTCTACGTTGGACAAATTCTGAAAACGACCCCAGAAATATAATTGGTGAGAAAATAGTTTTTTTTTGTGTGTTAACAGTTAACAATTTTTTATTTTGAAAATAAGGGGTTTCAGTATGTACTGGTATTAGTGAATCAATTTAATCGCCTCAGCATCTCTAAACCCCCATCTTGAGACGCGTTAACGATCCGGATCGAGTTACGTCGCGTAATTATGTCACCTTTTTAATTAAAAAAAATAAGGAGATGCACCTACCATACTTTAGAAACCCCTACTCCTCCCTTTGGAGGTGATGAAATAAGTTTTGATATGATAAGTACAAGACTTGCCTCGTTTTTTTAAGGAGGTTCAAAGCGGTGCGAGGTGACCTTTCATATATGAAACAGATCAGTCATGGGGACACGAGATGTGGAAAGTTTAAGCGTAGTCGTGGCCACATTGCTACCAACACGGCATATATAAGGAATCACGAACCATTCAGGTAAAATTTTGAAAACACATATTTATGGCAATATAGAACCTCTCTTTTTTTAACAGGAATATTGAGACCTAGACCAGTATCTTTTTAAGTCGACATGTGGGGTAAAGAAGACGCAGAAGCTTCAGTCGGGTACCATCGGTAACGTAGGCGATTGATATATTTCCACCACTACATATATTGGATTGGAATTTCCCATTTGATGCTTTGACTGACTAAATGAGAAAACTTGGAGGTAAGCTCTTACGGAATTCTATGGAAATATGTTTAGTAACATATTGGTGCATTACTCTGTCTTCCAGTCAGTTTCACATAAACTTTGCACCTAATATAGAAATGCCACCTACTTTTTTTTGTGTTAATATTATTGAAAGTAGTAGCTGGTAGCTGTAGTCGTAAGCCCAGAGAGTCTCTGTTTTGAACATAATACACAAAATGGGGCGTTCATTAACTCTGATTGCTTAGACTGCATGACTTTTAGAGTCGGAGTAAAGTATGGTCATATACCCGGATCAAATTCAGAACTAGAAAATCGTTGTGTCTCTGCATTAAAAATAATAGTAAAATTTATTGTAGGCACCTAGTAGAGTATCGAAAATTTCCATTTTTTTTTTTAATAATTTATGATGTTAATGAGTTTCATTTCAATTATTTGTTACTTGGAATTAATGACGCTGACTAACCTGATTTTGTCCAGGGGGGCGTAGTACGGTAGTTTATACTGTGATGTTTGGTAGTTTGGCAGTGAGCTCTCATTTATAAAACTGGGGGAATGTTTCGATATGTTCAAATCGTAAACACGTATCATTAGAATTATATTTTTAAAATAGTGATGATGACATGTACTGAGTAACTAACTGCTCTAGCAAAAGTATTCACACACATTGGGGAAAACGTATAACTTTATATTAGAGAAAAATAACTATTTTTAGAGGTTGGTTTTTCAAAAAGGTGGGGATTTAGTTAAAGAACAGATAAAGACTAAAGAGAAAAGTTACAATTAAAAAATCGATGTTTTCATGTCATAGCGAAAGATGGATATTATTATTAAAAATAATACTTGCATTAATTGTTGTCACCATTTGTGAAAAATATGGAAAATATCCTCTAGGTTCGCATACTTTTTTTTTTTAATTTTTTTTAAGGTGGCTAACAAAATACACAGACAGAAAAGTTCAGATCCTGTTCGTTAATGTAGCGCATAGAAAAAAAAAATAGAAAAGAGAACGTTTCGTGTATGGCATACGTAGTTAGTACGGAATATTAATCTGAAGGCTGCAAGACAGTGAAAGAGTGATGCGCTTAAGTGTGGTTCAGAGAGGTTATTTGGGCTGTAGAAGTTTTTCTTTGAACGGGGTTCAAATAGCGTCTCCTAGACCGTTAACAGAGAGAATATTACAGTATTTAGTATAAGCGTCCAGATTTCATTATTGTTGAGATTGCCATAGAAACACACTTTCATGTAGTAGTCGCAGCAGCTTTAAAGTATATGACTTTTTAGTTAAGATGCCTTTCGAGTTTGTTTCATTGGTTGATAGGAAATTAAAGGGTAGATACAGATAAGTTACGAAAAAAAAAGTATGTACACTATCCTCAAAGATCAGCAATAAATAAAAGAAATTGATGAAATAGTAAAGTTGACTGCGATATCTTAAAATCATTAATAAGATAGATAAATTAATTTTGAAAATATTAAATAATAAAAACAAATAATAAAATAGCAAAGAAAACCAAAATCATCAATAAGATAGATAAATTAATTTTGTAAATATTAAATAATAAAAATAAAATCATAATAGCAAAGAAAACCTACCACGGCCACATACACATAATATTTTCGACATATGAACTTTTCCTAGATAAATAGTCAAATATCTCACGATACCTTAAAACAGAAGAATGCGGAAATATGTATGAAGTTAACGCACGGTAGATGGCTTAGTAAATTAATAATGTATATGGTTTCTAATATCCTACTACTACTATCCTACTCAAATTTTAACCATGTTTTTGTTTTTGCAGATATTATTGGTGGTGCCTGCCAGCTTCCAGTTCCGAAAAAAGAAATCCAACACTTTTCGTCTTTATTTCCCCTGTCCTTTGTGCGCAATAGTAAAAAGTACAGTTTGTACCCGCGAGGGTAACATTCGCAGAACTATATGTTTTTAAAATAAATGTTTTGGTCAATATTCACTAGGTCGGGTTACCTTATTAAAGAAAATCTTATTTCAAGAGGGGACACTAGTTTACATTCGAACCGCTAGAGGGTGCAGATGGTCACGCGAACAATATGATCAAGTCTCATTGACGCCATTGCTTTTCTTACGGGTGGGAAAATATCTGGGCTCTGATTGGCTTCGCCGCTCTCGCAAACTAGAGGAGGGGGATTGATTAAACCCCACATTTCCGGTTGCTTATCCAATGGGGGTCAGTTTCAAGGGATTATGGGTAAAGGGGGAGGAGCTAAGAGGGTCGTGGGGAAGGAGGACACGCCCACAAAAAGGGAGAGGAGTGGGGGACACCTAAAATGTACCTAAAAACTACTGCACTTGTTGCATAATATACTATTTTAGTATCTTTTAAATGACAGGGAATAAAAATATGTGTTTTATAGGCAACGCGACATATACATATTTTGTTTCCCGTTTGTTCTCGAAAAAAACACGGTTTGTCCGTTTGACAATAATCCACATTTTTACTTTGCATAATAATAAAATGAAATTAAAGTATATAGTGTTTTTTAAAGATTTTTTAAATGTAAGGGGATTGAAATGTCAGTGTTGGTATGCGTGTGTAGCTTTTGTTTGTTCAAGAAAGCGTGTCGTCGGTCGACAGAGTGCGATCGCAAAGAATGTTTTTAATATTTAGATTTCTTGAAGGAACAAGAACGTCAGCAACAGGAACACCGGGATGGCTGACAGAGTGGACGCAAAAAGAAGAAAAAGACCCTCCTCGCAGGACATCTGAACTAATAAATATTTGTTATTGTATATAGTTTTCTTTAATTAAACTTGGTCACACTGTACACTTGAGTATTGAGACACTCTGTATAAGTCACTCGATTTGTTTACTGTCGACCTTATCCTCCCGATCCCCCCAATCCCGCGACCCGCGCCACGGCCACCTGCCGGGTGGGTGGCAGGTGGGGGACGCGGCAGGCCGTAGAAATCCTGGCGAGAGCGCGCGCGCGACATCTAGCAGCAACGGGCGGAACTGCTGCAAACCGGCGGTACATAATTAGCTAGGCCTTAATTGGGTGTTCAACAACGGACTCGTCTGGGGTTCGATCCTCGGTAGGAAAAAAAATGGGTCATCAGTTTCAAGATCGAATACATAATTACCCATTGGTTTTAATATGCTCGTTAGCTCGGCGTTAAAGTTGGCATTCAACAAGAGACGGTGGTGGAAGGGAAAATCGAACACATGATTACCCATTCGTTTTAATATGCTAGTTACCTCGGCGTTCAACAAGAGACGGTTTCCGGGTTCTTTCCTGGGTAGACGCAAAAAAAAGATTGGGTCACGTGACCACATGTTATGATGGGTTGTGAGAGGATTGATAGAAGTGGGGTGAGGTTTGATAATGGGATAAAGCTTGCGGTGAGGGAGTGAGGATTGAGGAAGGGGGTGGGCGGACCAATTTTCGCTAATATGAGCCTTAAATCTTCTTGTGGGAATTTACATGTAAAAACTGCCGAAATTGCTGTTGAATGCACATAACATATCAACTAACAAAACATTTGAGATACCCGAGCTAAAATGGGTTTAAGATCAGTTCGATAGCAGCAGTCTACTAACTGTAGAAACGAATTCTGTCGTGACAAATAAAATGAAACATAAGTGAGCTTACTGAACCATACTGATATCTATTCACCTTACAACAATATCAGGGAAGCCAAAAAACGATGTTACCCGCAATCAATCACTATTAGATCATACATCATCTAGGTTATTACCTACTCTATAATCAGAAACATATTTTGATTGATTGATTTTTTCGAATGTCTTCTTAAGGTGAGCTGCCGGCTACCTAGAGAGAAATGGCAAGCTCGTGGTCAGACGGAATAGTTAATTATTAAAAACCAAAAGCAAAGAATTCAAACTGAATTTAAGAAACATCATTGTCGACCAGACAAAACAAGAAACTGGAGCCTCCAACGTCGGAAATTAAGAAAGAATTTTCTACCGAAACTACCAGATACCTGCATAAATAACAGACGTTAATGAATCGCTAATTTACCGATTTTGTAATACTACAGGTTCTTGCAAGCGGATTTACTATCGAGCTACAGGAGTTTGAGACATACACGTTAGATACAAATAGACTTTTTGGCCATTAATCCGGCTCACGGAGCACAGACTCACTTTCTCTGTCGCCTACTTGGGTAAATCTAACCTGGCGCGTCCACGTCGCGGGGATGGGAATCTACCACTTCAGTAGGCCGGAGTGAATGGCTAAGTTCAGGTTGGGACCCAGTTCTGTGGAATATAACACAGACCCCCTGCCCAGGGATACGGATGACGACTACAATGGCAGAAAGGCGGAGAAGAGAAGAGAAATCGGCGGTATAAGTGATCCCACTCACCGTGCCAACAGTCTCTGGATAGCGGGCGGACGAGCATAAGTGAAACAGGGTAGAAAACTTTCCCTAAAAGTCGGATGAACAAAAGATGTCAACGCCATAAGAATACGAAAGGCAATGGAAAACCACCGTATTAAAGGTCCCCAAGGACAACTCAAGAAAGATAAGGATGGAAAGAACAACGCAAAAGACGGCCCCTAGTCCGTGGCAGGCCTTGAGTGGCCAGGGGGTGCTAAGAATCCTTGCGAAGAGAAACAATGCTAGGAACCACCCGAAAGTGGAAAAAATGAAAAAAACCCAAAGGGTACTTGGAACGTCAAAATTCTGTTCACCGCCGGCAAATTAGACAACCTAATGCAAGAAATGGAAAGATGCGACCTAGACCTCATAGGCTTTACCGAAATAAGATGGCCCAACAGGAAAAGGGACACTATATTACTCAGGAAACAACCTAGCCCATCATTATAACGGAGTTGGATTTCTAGTTAATACAGATCTAAACGAATCAATAAGAAACTTCGTGGCATACACGTATAGGGCAGCACTACTACAAGTCCAAGCCGACCATGACCTTAACATTATACAAATCTATGCACCAACCCTGGACAAAACCGAAAATGAAGTGACAATTGTACAAAGGAATCAAGGAGTTAATGAAACTGTTCAAAAAGAATGAGACTCTTATAATCACGGGAGATTTCAATGCGAAGGTAGGGCGAGGACGCGTTAAAAATGTCGTGGGTGATTTTGGTTTGGGAGATCGTAATGCAAGAGGTGATGTACTAATCCAGTTCTGCCAAGAAGAAAAATTAATCATTGCGAATACATGGAACAAACTGCGACCACGGAGACTATACATCTCGCAGTCCCCGTAGCATATGCAAGACAACATCGTAAGAAACCAAGTTGACTTTTTATTGATTAACCAAAGATACAGAAAAATGTACCCTGGAACAGATATCGGTTCTGATCGCCATCCCATGGTAGGAAAATTAAAAATTAAACTCAAGAAAATTAAAAGAAGATCCATAAAGAAAATCGACATAAACAACTTAAAGCAACCTAATGTGAAACAAAAAGGAATGGAATAATGCTCTGTTCGCTGCCCAAAATTACAAAAAGAAGAAATGGATGACTGCCGAAATATTATCAAAGATGAATAACCGTAGATCTTTAAAAATAAAGACCGAACTAAATATCAGAAGATTAACCAACAAATACGGAAAAAGATCCGCAAAGCTAAAAAACAAGGGCTGTTAGACAGATGCTCAGAAATGGAGAAATTGGAAGAAAAATATGAACATTTTAGCATACATAAACTCGTTAAGGAAGTAAGAGGTCATACAAAACCTTGTAGTTTTAACATAATTGTAAAAGACAATAAATTAATAACTGATTCCAAGGATCTACTTCAACAATGGAGAAATTATACACAGCAAATATACTCCGAAAACATTGGAAGAAACTCTGAAAGTGAATATAAAAGTGAACCCTCTACTAAAATAATGAAGTCAGAAGTTGTAAAGGCACTCAAACAAAGCAAATGGGGAAAAGCACCAGGCCCAGACGGCATATACTTAGAGGTTCTAACAATGTTGAGTGAAGACAATATAGACGGCTTGGTAGATTTCTTTAATGATATTTATGGGTCCGGGCTTCCATCAGTCTTTGTACCAACCCCAAAAAAGCCAAACGCTAATAGTTGCCATCGTTTCCGAATGATCGGCTTACTGAGCCAGGTCCTGAAACTCTTATTAAAGATAATTCACACAAGAATATAAACAGATGTTAGCGAGATATAAGCCCCACACAGTTCGGTTTCAGACAGGATTTTGGTACAAGAGAAGCACTTTATAGCTTAACTGTCCTAATTCAAAAATGCAGAGACCAGGAAAAAGATGTATTCCTATGCTTTATAGATTACCAGAAAGCGTTCGACTATATTTACCATTCAGAATTAATAAGATTGCTCGAAGAACGTTCTATAGTTAAGAATGATCTTAAAATCATAAAGAATCTTTATATGAATCAAATAGCGTTCGTGAGAGTAGAACAGGAATTTAGATCATATTTCCCAATCGAAAAAGGTTTACGACAGGGCTGTATTCTGCCCCCTTCCTTTTTAATCTTTACTCTGAAGCGATTTTCGATAAAGGCTTAAGAGACATTGAAAATGGAATCAAAATCGACGCACAGACTGTTAATAACCTTCGCTATACTAATGATACAGTCATAATAGCCGACAGCCAAGAAGCGCTACAACGACTAATAGGCAGAACGACCGGGACTGAATATCAATATAGATGTAGGTAATGGTGGTCAGCAGAACACGAAACATGCAATTATATATAAGAGTAAAAAACAAGAATATCCAAAAGGCACCAAGTTAAGATGTCTCGGTAGTTGGATAACTGAAGCTCTAGATCCAGACTTAGAGATACATAGCAGGATCGAACATGAAAGAGCAGCATTCATTAATATGAGAACCTTGCTAAGCAACAGTGGACCTAACTTAACGCTTCGATATCGCTTTGTAAAATGTTACATTTACTCTATACTGCTATATGGTGTATGGTATGGTGGACCATAAAGACCAACGTGTTGAATCGATTAGAGGCCTGTGAAATGTGAATATTTAGAAGACTACTCAAAATTCCCTGGGCAGATCACACAACAAATGTTTAAGTATTAAACCGAATGAGCAGAGAAAGAGAATTGTTTCAAATAATATAAAGAAGAAAAACTGTTTATCTGGATCATATATTTCGGTAGAAAAAACACTCATGGTTGAAAAACATTAGGAATTGGACAAATCTCGATGCGCTCGCACTCTTTAGAGACACACAAGATACAGAGGAGTATGCCAGCATTTTCGCCAATATCCACCAATTGGATAAGGCACCTTAAGAAGAAGAAGGCTTTTTATATCTCTCTACCCTAGGTACAGAATGCTCGTCACCATTCAAAAAATTCTTGTACATGATGCTGCAATTGTAAATGCTTTTCGGCTTCCCATTAGACAGCTCTCCGAAAAAGCGCAAGAGGCGCGAAACAAAGAGTATCGTAGATGCAGAGAGCAGTTGACGTAAATGTGATGGAAGATCAACAATCCTTGACGTAATTAGCAATCTCTGCGATTCATCGCATCCCGTTATATTTATTTTAAGAAAAAAAAATGAAGCTAAAAAAAAGTTTTAGTTCAGAAGATGTAGATCTTCTGGAATCATGTTCACCAAATGGGTTATTAAATTGATTCAGCTCTGATAGTGTATCTGATTAATTTTTTGTTTTTATTAAAGTTTTTATAAGTTAATTTGTTATAGGTAGTTAGCGTAGTTGGTGTAGTTAAAAATAGTTTTCTTTGTTATTACAATTTCCTCAAATTATAGTATT